CCTTTTCCCCCCAGTTTGATTTACTTGGGTCAGATTGCAGATTTGAAGGGGAGAATATTGCTGCTGTTCAGAATGCTTATCTGGGCTTTGCATTGTTCAGGAAGTGCTGGGAACGTGTGGAGGTAGCATGCTGATTTTCAAAATGTGTATCATTTGCCCTCCATACGCCTTCTATACACCTCTGTTGCTGTTCAGAACACATGAACATCAAATTGTTCAAGTGGAGGTGCTGTAAATATATATGAGGAAAGCAAGCTCACTTTTAAAATTTATTCCATTTTTTAGTTCACTTCACAGAGCCACAGCTGCTATAAACCAAGTGCATTTCTCACTTCTTTAGCCATAGAGTAAAAGAATTAGCCAGATTATCTAGCTACAGGCAGTTCCTGGATTACGAACGGGCTCCGTCCCTAAGTGTGTCTTTAAGAATTTGTAGGTAAGCTGGAACAGGTGCATAGGGTTCTTATTTAGCCTTGCTTTAGTGCAAGTAATGGCTCGCAGCCTTTTCAATGATTTAAAAGCTGCAGGTGCAGCGAGTGAAGGTGGTTGTGATGAATTTGTTGTTGTGAGTAGGGGTTGTTCCAGTTGTTTCAAAGTGAGAGCAAATTTATTTAACATTGAAGGGCAAGTATGAGTTGTCCAGTAAGTCAGATTTTCCTAACCCGGGGACTTACAGTATTTAAAATACCCACTGTTCTCTTCAGTTTCCTTTATCCTGCCGCCCTTTTGGTGCTGATCAGATAGAATCTTTTGTTGCTTTGAAACCCATAATTAAAGAAACCTTAGCTTTCCCACCTTAAGACATGGTCCAGTTTTAAACACTCATAAGTTCACATTATGCCGTCAACTGTTGTAGTCATTTAAAAGCAAGCTGCTAGATTCCGGCTAACACAGCATCAGTCATTCAGAAGAAACCTAATTATCTGTTGGAGTAAAACTAGTACTGTCTCTCCCCAACATTTGCTGCTAAATTATAGGTCTGCTTCATATTGGAGCAAGAACACTTAAAGGCTGTTGTGAAGTATACCTCAATTTAAAATAAGTAAATAAAAAATTTTTTTAATGCAGGCGAGGAATTGAATATTAAAGTGGAGAAATTTGTTCATATGTAGTTTCAGATATGCAGGGAGTACCTTTTCCACTTGGAAGTGTTAATTTTATAGCCAATCAGAACAACCTTTTCCTTCACCCCCATGTTTATTCATAATACATAACTAGTACAATTTGCAGCATTTTAAAATTTAGGCATCATAACAGCCCCCGGTTAAATTCTAACAGAATATCTTCCAGCATATATGTTTGGAATATTCCTCCTCATGTTCTCTCTTGGCAGAGAGATTGATAACGGAGACACTTGGCCTGTATATTAGGTATGTGCTGTGGGTACGTGATCCCAGTTCAGGATTTTGTTCAGGGTTCTCATTCAGCTTTGTAAACAGTCTGTTTCCAAATACATTGTCAGAAATTAGAAGGCAAGTGACCTTTACCACAGTCTGCCGAATAAGGAAGGTCAGGCGTCACAGGTATGCTGGGACCCACTTCTACACGTCTGCTTTTAGCTGGTTCTATTTTTAAACCACGTTGGAACTACTCTAAGTCTTAAAGGTCGACTGACAGTTTGTCTTTGAGTTATTAATTTTACCCTCATTGTCCAAATGCCTCCTTGTGTGTTGAGTGCCTTTTCCTCCGGACTGTAGGGTAGTACTCTCTCTCCCAGTTTTCAGTGACTGGAGGAAAACACAAGTTCTGCAAATTCCCTTCATTTATCACTTCTGTTCTTTGTTGTCATGTTTACATTTTTAGGTTAAACCTCCGTGAACTTGGACCCCTGGCGTCTCATATGCGTTGGTTTATCTGGCTCATGGCAGCTGGAGGAACCATTTATGTATTTCTCTACCATGAAAAGTAAGAGAAAATAATTTACACTTGATAGATTTCAAATGCACTGCCTAAATTTTATCTGTATTAGAGCACAATTTACTCTTTTACATAAACAGAATGTATATTGTTTTTAATAACTCTTCAGAGCCATTTGGTATTCATCATTGGTGGACAGTCGCTACGGAAGGAAATGAATGGCGTGTGTGATCTGATGCAGTTAAAGAGGCCATGTGCCCAGTCCTTTTGGAGTCAGCTGGACCTCATTTCACATCCTGAGGCACAGTAGCCTTATCTGCAAACTAGCCATAACCTCTTATGATTCACAGTTGTCACAAGAAAAAGATAACTGCTTTTCAAGGTTGCTATGAAGATTAAAGAAATTAGATATTAAGTGCCCAGCATAACACCTAGATAGGAATCTAGAAGGTGTTCCAAGTGAGAATTCCCTGAGAAAGGGGATGTTTGGAAGGGCATCTAAATTCTGAAGAGTCTAACTGTGGGCACAGTTTTTTAAGCAATTATTCATAGTTCATAGTTACAAATATTTAGCAATATATAAAGAAAAACTTGTTTAAATTCAGCATATTAGCTCTAGAGGAGACCCTCAAGGTCATCTATTCCAATTTCATGCTTAAAAAATAAAGACATCCAGAACATGCATCAAATCAGTGGACTCATTCCGGAATTAGGACCCAAGCGTCCTAGTTGCTATTCCATGGCTCTTTCCATTACCTCATACGCCTGAATTTGAGAAACTCACAAACATGAGATCCCTGCCTTTGAATATAGTTAATTAAGTTCTTTATCTGTTGTGGTTGGCCTAATGGCTCCCAGAATTGAACATAATTTGTGTTTATCACAAAGTATTAAATTATTTCCCTTTTTAGAAGAAAACGTTAGTTTCACTAATTTCTCTGTGACTTTGAAATTCACTTAAATGCCTTTTTGATCATAATTAGCAATTCTGAGTGGCATTATGCAGTATATATAAATGCAAGGGAACAGTTTCATATTTGGGTTCAAGTCCCTAATTTATATCCTTAGATAAAATAGGAAGTAAAGTAAGGCAACTATCTCTTCTCCAGTTTCAGGCCTTCGGATGTAAACTAAACACGTAAACCCATTCTTCCCCAGTTCCCTAATATGGTTACTACATGGTAGGCTTTGAGTATAAAACACCAAGAGTGAACTGTGTGAGTCACTCCTGGCCGTTCCATTTGGCAGACATTAGGGAGTGCTTAAAATGTTCTAGGTACTGTTCTAGACCTTGCAGATACAAACATAAATAAAATTTGGTCCCTGCCTTTGAGGAACTTATAATCTAGTTTGATTAGGCAGAAATGTAAACTGAATTTCAACATAATGTGTTTCTTAGAGTTATCAAACATTCTGTAGTGTAATGCGATGAGCCTTATGAATTGGAGTTTGTGCAGATACAAAATAGAACAAAAATACATGCCCTTCATTCCTTAGGGGTGTTATTGCTTTGCAGCTGATAGACTAGGCATCAAGTTGCATCCCAGTCCATCTTCATCCTTTGAGTTTCTAATATCTCTGGATTGGAATGATAATGTAGGCAAACACCATAGGCTTGGAAGGGGAGAAATGCAAGGCAAACTGGATTCAGTGGTAACTACTTTGGGCAGAAAACGTTTTCTAGGTAGTCTACCCAGTTGGATATTTTTTCAATTCTTAAAAGAAATGCCAGTTCATTGTTAGCAGAATTATGATATTTTAGTTGGAAGCCTAAGGGTCTCCGGCTAGAAAAATGTATTTTGTTTGAATAGTTAAGAGCTTTTTTTTTTTCCAAAAGGAAAAAATGGTATGGAAATGGTCTCCATGTTACAGAAAATATAAATACTGCATTTCTGTTCCTGCAGGTATAAGGTGGTTGAGCTCTTTTTCTATCTCACAATGGGATTTTCTCCAGCATTGGTGGTGACATCAATGGTAAGAAGTGGCTTTATTATTTTAGTTTTTTCACCTGTTTCCTTTATAATTTAACAGGGTTCGTAATGTGACCATATACGTTATATATAGCTTTTCTTGGTAAAGCATTTTCATCAACAAAAGACTCAAAAGAAAAATCTACAAATAACAAAGTGCCAGCCACTTTTACTAGGTACCATCTACAGTTTGGAAAATCTATAAATTTAGACATGTTTCTTTCCTTATGGTAATCCACTCTATTTATCTGATTCTTTTTGATGATCCTTTCTGTTTATCCCACCCTCAACTCCACCCTTTTCCTCCCAAAGAGGTTTCTGATTATAATAAGGCCAGTACTTCTGATTGAATAACTTACTGTCTTCACCGTCTTTCAGTGGAAGAGGGTAAAATTTGAGGTTTCTTACAATGAAGAAAATATGAATTGCAGAAGTCTAAAATCTCAAGGATAATGGGAAAGATCTTAAAAGGTCATTTGGTCCAGTCTTCTCTCTGATACTTCTGAAATCTCCTCGCTCTTACTTTTCCTGTCATTTGCTTTTATGTCATGTTGTTTATTTTTCCCAGGAAAGTGCTTTTTTCACACTGCTTGAAAATTTATTTTGGGGACTTTGATGGATAGAAGTGTAACATTACCCCCAGTAGGCTATTGCATGTATATATTCTGAACTCCCTTTCGACTTGAATGATACTTGAGAAATCTGTGTGTATCTGTCAATTAGAAATAGCAACATATCACTACACCCTCAGGATTTCATCCAATTGGTTACTTGTGCTTTTAGCTAATATAGTACAGTGTTGAATGCTCTGCATTTTTTGGTACTAGTTACTATTGGCATAGTGGTTAAGAGCTACAGCTACTAACCAAAAGGTCGGCAGTTCAAATCCACCAGCCGCTCCTTGGAAACCTCATGGGGCAGTTCGACTCCGTCCTATACGGTCCTATATGAGTCAGAATCGACTCGACGGCAACGGGTTTGGGGTTTTTGGACTATAAAAGGAGCCCTGGTGGCACAACAGTTAAGCACTTGTCTGCTAACCAAAAATGTTTGAGGATCGAACCCACTCAGCAGCTCCACGGAAGAAAGACCTCGCCATCTGCTCCCATAAAGATTACTGACGAGAAAACCCTATGGGGCCGTTCTACTCTGTCACATGAGGCCACTATGAGTTGAAAATTGACTCGACGGCACCCAACAATAACAGCTATATTAAGGAGGTCACAATGTATTTAGTCTGAACTCTCTTCCCAGCCTGGTCAAAAGAACGGTACTTGTAATTTCATTCCTGAGCCCCTAGGCATGTTATGAGAATGAAACTCCAGTATAGTTCCTGCCCTTTCCATGAAAAGACTTGTAAAAGGTGTGAGAATCTAATAGTATATTTTTCTTTGAAATATAAGGTTTATGATGGCTCTAATAGTTACCTAGCGTGAAAAATACATACAGTTTAGTTGGTGAAGGCAACGGGAAACAGTAAGAGGGGGAGGCAACAGGTAATGAGAAAATCTGCTGTGAAGGACATAGAGTTAGAGGGTGACTCAGGATACTCAAAGGTTTATGTAGATGGGTTATGAATCATTATAGTAGAAATCCAAGTACATTCCCTCTGGGGATCATAAAAACAGGTTTATCCAGAATTTTTACTAATCTAATTTTTTAATTGGCATTTTCACAAATGGTGCAGTAATAGGTGGCTGATGTTTATGTAATCAAGCAAGGACATCCCCACACTTTCCTTCATAGACTTTGGATCAAGCAGGAAAATACAGTTCATCTTAAATGAGAAACTATAATACAGTTTGATAATGCCTTTGATTGGGGGAAGTGCAGGTTGTGATGGGAGCACATGATAGAAGTAGGTACCAGAGGAAATGATGATATTTAAGCTAATTCTAAAGGACAAGTGGGAGCCAGGAGATGGTAGGGGTGAGGCATGTGTTAGAAGTAGAGAATACAGTAGGGCAAAAGCACTAGCATCTTTGAAGAACTGAAAACAGCTCACTGTCTAGAACATAGAGTCTGTATACCTGTGTGAGTGTGCACATACGTGTGGTGGGGGTAGTTGTGCAGATAGCACCAATCTCATGTGATAGAGCTGGGGAGTTAGTAAACATAAAAGACTGTTTCTCGTTTCTTAATTTCTTCAGAAGATAAGGTGGGGTTTATAACATATGTAGAAGGAAAGTATATCACAACAGAGAACGGGGAAATGGAAAATATATAACAACAAAGGTGAGGAAATAGAAGTATATTGTTGTGGAGGTCTTATCTTACGTGTATGGGTATAATAATAAAGATGTATTGTGATGAGGGTGTAGTTTGTAACTCCTAGAGCAACCATTAAAAAAAAAAAAAGTTAACAGCTAAATAGCCAATGGAAAAGATAAAATATTGGAGATACTCAGCTAATTTAATTTAAAAGAAGGCAGGAAAAGAGGATAAAGGAAACAAGACTTGATGAGACCAAATAAAAAACAAATAGCAAGATGGGAAACTTAAAAGCAATCATATCAATGATTATGTTAAATAAAAATGGCCTGAACACTCACAATTAAAAGGCAGAGATACTCAGACTGGATAAAAAAGGAAGACTCAGCTCTATGTTGTTTGTATGAGACACACTTTAAATATAAAGACTCAGGTAAGTTAAAAGTAAGAGGATGGAAGAGATATGCCGTGAAAATACTAATCATTAAGAAAGTTGAAATGGCTATATTAATGTCAGATAAAGTAAACAATCAATACCAGGAATTAAGATGGACATTTCATAATGGTAAAAGGGTTATTTCTTCAAGAAGATATAACAGTCCTAAATGTTTGTGCACCTAATAACAGACCTTCAAAATACATGGAACAAAATCTAACCAAAGTAAAGGGGAAACAAATCCACAGTCATGATTGGGGATTTTAACACTTCTCTCTCAGTAACTGAACAAGTAATTAAACATGTAGACAAAAAAGCAGTAGGAATAGCAGATTGAACAACATTATCAATAATTTAACCTAATTGACATTTCAGAACACTATACCCAACCACTGCAGTATACTAATTCTTTTGAAGTATGGAATGTTCATTAAGGTAGATCATAGGCAGGGCCATAAAATAATCCTCAATAAATGTAAAAGAATTGAAATCATACAACAAAGAAGATGTGGAATATTTCTAAATATTTGAAAATTAAACAAAACATTTCTAAATAACCTCATGGATCAAAGGACAGATCAGAAGAAAACTAGAAAATAATTTGAACTGAATGATAATGAAAACACAGCCTAACAAAATTTGTGGAATGCCGCTAAAGCAGTGCTTGTATTAGAAAAGAAGAAAGTTTTAAAATCAGTGATCTAAGCTTCCACCTTAAGCTAGTAGAGAAGAGTAAATTAATCCCAAAATAGCTGGAAGTAAAGAAATAAAGAATGGAAATCTAAAATTAAGAAAGAAATGGATAAACAATAGAGAAAATTAACAAAACCGAAAGTTAGTTCTTTAAAAGGTCAATACAGTTGGTAAAACTTAAGTCGACTGATTAAAAAATAGAGAAAACATAAAATATCAATATAATCAATAAAAAAGGGAATATCAATATAGATGCTATAGATATTATAAAAGGACTATTATTAATAAAAGAATATTATAAATAACTTTATGCCATATATACAGCAACTTAGATAAAATGGACAGATTCTTAAAAGACAGTCTACCACAACAGACTCAAAAAGAAACAAGAAATCTGGATAGCCCTTTATCTATTAAAGAAATTGAATTCATAAATAAAAATCTTCCTACAAAGAAAATCTCACATCCAGGTAGGTTCACTGAATCATTCTATCTTGTTTAAGGTAGAAGTAATGTCAGCTCTACACAAACTCTTGCAGAAAGTAGAGATGGAAGGAACAATTCCCAGTTCATTTTATGAGGCCAGCATTACCCTGATAACAAAATCAGACCAAGGTATTACAAGACAAGGAAACTACAAATCAACATGCTTAATAAAATTGACAGAAAAGTCTTCAACAACATATTTTCAAATATAATTAACCAATATTTGAAAAGAATAATACATCATACCCAAGTCAGATTTATTTCAGCAATGCGAGGATGGTTCAGTAATTAGTCATTAAAGCTTATTACATTGAGAGAAACAAGGAGAAAAACATATGGTTGTCTCAAGAGATGCAGAAAAAACTTTTGAAAAAAATGGACTACTTATTCATGATTAAAAAAAAATCAGCAAACTTGAAATAGAAGGAAAATATCATAAATTCATTAAAGGGCATCTATGAAAAACCTACCTGCTAATATCATATTTAATGGTGGAGAAAATGCTTTTCCTCTAAGACTGGCAACAAGGCAACAGTGTCTGCCCTTGTCACTTTTGTTCAACGTTGAACTGAAGTTCTAGCAGTGCAATAAGACGAGAAAAGGAAATGAAAGGCATACAGATTGGAAAAGAATAGATAACTCTGTCTTTATTCACAGATGACATAGGGCACATATGTAGAAAATCTTAACCTACAAAAAGTTACTAAAAGTAAGAAAAAAAATTAGAAAGGTAGTGGGCCACAAGGTCAAAATACAATAATCAACTATATTTACATATACTTGAAACTAGCAACTGGAAAATTACATTAAAAAATACTGTTTACAATAACATAAACAAAAATTTAGGGATAAATTTAATGAAGAATGTGTACACTGAAAACTACAAAACCCTGCTGAGAAATTAAAGAAGACCTAAATAATTGAGCAATAGACTATGTTCATGAATTGTAATATTTGATGTCATTAAGATGTTGATTCTCCCCAGGCTGACCCATAAATTTACCACAATCGCAATCAAAATCCCAGCAGACCTTTTTTTTGGAAATTGACAAACTGATTCTAAAATTGATTTGGAAATGGCAAAGGACCTAGAATAGCCAAAAACTGTTTCAAAAAAGGACAGCCTTGAAGGACTTAATGCTACCTGATTTCAAGACTTACTGTAAAGGTATAGTAATCCAGCCAGTATAGTATTAAAGATAGACAGATCAATGGGACAGAATGAAGAGTGTAAAAATAGACTTCCACTTATATGGTGAATTGATTTTCAACAAAGACACTAAAGAAATTAAGTGGTGAATGGGAAGTCTTTTCAACAAATGGTGTAGAACAATAGGATATCCATGTGAAAAACCGTGGACCTCAACCTCATTCCTTACATAAAAATTAATTTGAGATGAATTGTAGACCTAAATATAAACCATGCCAAAACTGTAAAGTTATTAGAAGAAAACATAGGCGCATTCATCACAATTTTAACATATGCAGTTTTCTTAGGCCACAGAAAGCACCAACCATAAAAGAAAAAAATGGTAATTTGGACTTCTTCAAAATTAAAAACTTGTTCATTAGAAGACACTATTAAGAAAATGAGTAGACAAGCCACAGGCTGAGAGAAAATGCTTGCTCTCTAGGTACTTGACAAAGGATGTAAGAATATATTAAGAAAAAAAAAATTCCAACTCAATAATAAAAAGACAATCCCGTTAAAATGGGTAGAAGATTTGAACAGAACATCACAAAGAAAGATATACAAGTGTCCAGTAAGCCCTGGAAAAAGTGCTCCACATCGTTAGTCATCAGGGAAATTAGGGAAATAAAAATTAAAATCACAAGGAGCTACCACTATGTAGCCTGTAGAATGGCTAAAATTATAAAAAGATTGACAACACCAAATATTGTCAAGGATGTGAAATATCTGGAACCCTAATACATTGTTGGTAGGAGTGTAAAATGATATGTTGTTATGTGCCATCAAGTCGATTCTGACTCATAGTGACGCTATAGGACTGAGTAGAACTGCCCCACAGGGTTTCCTAGGCTGTAATCTTGATGGGAGCAGACTGCTGGATCTTTTCTCCTGAGGAGCTGCTGGTGGGTTCGAAACGTCAGCCTTTGTTAGCAGCTGAGGGCTTAACCAGTGTGCCACCAGGGCTCCTTGTAAAATGATATAACCACTTAAAAAAATAGTGTAGCAATTTCTTAAAAAATTAAGCTTACATTTACCCTGTGACCCAACAGTTTCATTCTTAGGTATTACCTGACAGAAATGAAGATAAAATTTATCTACAAAAAGACTTGTAAGAGAATGTAAATATTAACATTATCATAGCCACAAAATGGAAAGAATTGATGAAATTACATTGAGTAAATCAACAGAATACTAAGCAATAAAAAGGAATGAACAACAATATACACAAACGTGGATGAATCTGAAAAACATTATGTTGAACAAGTAAACAAAAGCCAGACACAAAAAATGTACATAGTATATAATTCCGTTTATGTGAAGTTCTAGAACAGTTAACCCTAAACTGTGGTGGTAGTAATCAGAACAGTGGTTGCCTTGGTGGCAGAGGTGTCCAAGACTGGGAAAGGAAACGTTTGGGGTATTGGGATAGTTGTGTATCTTGATAGGGATGTTGGTTACGTACATTTATCAAAACTTGTACCGTTCACTTAATGTCTGTATGTTATACTCTGTAAAATTAATCATCCAAAAAAAAGAAAACTTTTAGTTTTAGAATAGTTTCAGGTTTACAGAAGAGTTGCAGAGATAGTACAGAAGGTTCCCATATACCCACACCCAGTTTCCCCGATTGTTAGCATCTTAAATTAGTATGGTACATTTATTATAACTAATGGACCAATGTTACTACATCATTATTAATTAAAGTATATACTTTATTCAGTTTTCCTTAGTTTTCCCTTAATATTCTTCTTTTGTTCCAGGATTCTATCCAGGATACCACGTGACATTCAGTTGTCATGTCTCCTTAGGCTCCTCTTGGCCCTGAATTTCTCAGACTTTCCTTGTTGTTGATGACATTCAGAGTTTTGGGGATTACAGGAATTTTGTACAATGTCTGCTTGGGATTTGTCTGATGGTTTTCTCAAGTGTAGACTGGAGTTATGGATTTTTGGAAGGAAGACCACAGAAGAAGTGGTGCATCATCATATCAAGGGCACAGACTTTCAATGTGACTTATCACTGTTGATGTTGACTTTGATCACCTGGCTGAGGTAGTGTTTGTCAGGTTTCTTCACTGTAAAGTTACTCTTTTTTCCCCTTTTTCAAACTGTACTCTTTGGAAGAAAGTGACTATGTGCAGCCCACTCTTAAGGAATGAGGGGTTATGCTCCACCTCCTTGGGGTATAGCTACATAAATACTATGGTGTCCCTATATAAAATATTTTGAATTCTTGATGGGTGATTCGTCTCTTCTCCCCCATTTATTTATTTATTCCATCATTTATATCAATATGAACTCATGGATATTATTTTATATCCTGGGTTATAATTCAGTACTACTTTATTTATTTTGTTGCTCAGAATTGTTCCATCTTTGGCCATTGGGTGCTTTGTCAATTCTCAATTTAAAAAAAAAAAAGAAGTGGAAAGTCCAGGAGCCACCTTGTTCAAATTCTGATTCTGACACTTAAAAGCTGCATGGCCTTGGGCAAATTACTTGACCTCTGTCTGTAAAATGGGGATAATATAAGTACCTAACTTAGGGTTGTTGTGAAAATTAAATGAGTAAATAAATGCATAGAAGTACCTCAAACTTTGGCTGGTACATAGTAGCAATAATGATTATTAATAATGAAGAAGACACTTTTTTTTCAGTTTAGGATTAACTCTCTTCTAGTTCTTTGAAAGTTAGTAAGATACCAAGTTGATAACCTTGAAGCATCTTGAGGAACTACCTGTTAACTAGAATGTGTCAAAACCAACCTGTGTACCAGGTTTGGACCTTTGCTTATTGTTTTGACAGAAAGGAAAAGAGTGGTATTTTGGGGGGCAGTGACCAGTTAGGTGACTTTGTGCAGGTCACTTCACTTCTGTGATGGTGTCTCTTCATCTTTAAAATTAGGAGGTTGTATTAGGTGAGTAACTCTTACATTAGGGAATCATATGCCCCTTTGAGAGTTTGATGAAAGCCTTAACCCCTGGAAAAATGTCCTTTATGCATACACACAGAGAATAATTTTGTTTTTGCTTGTGTAATGGGTGCTATTTGCTCTATAACTTTTAGGAAGTAATAAATGCTTTTTTTTTTTTTTTTTTTTTTTACTGTTTTAGTCAAACCTGGCGAAAGTCCCAGCTTACCAAGGTTAATGAGAAATCTCATATCAGTTTGGGTTGTCTCTTCCTTTTTGCTGTCATTGAGTTTAGCCTAGGCGTATGTGGCCCATTCAAAGTAGGTGGCTGTATTAGAGTCTTCCTTTGCTCCTTCCTGGACTTGGCCCAGGGACCTGCTCCAGTGCTCACAGGGCTGCAGCCGTCAGTACCCAGGCCTCTGGGATACCCACACACCCATCCCCGTCCATTGCTCTGTCATGGCCTGGCTCAGGTCTCCACCCATCCTGCAGAACCTGCAACCTCTCTTATTCCTAGTCCTCAGTATCCACAAGTTTACAGGGGTCTGACTTGTTTCTTCATCAGCTTCCTAAGCACTGCCTAAGCTTTTACTTTTAAAGAGAGGAAATGAAAACTAAGGATTGTATTTTATTGAAACGAACTGCCACGTCTGGCCATGATTATTGTCATTGTTGTTAGTTGTCATCCAGTTGGCTCCAACTCATGGTGACTTTATGTATGACAGAATGAAATGTTGCTCTGTCCTGCACCACCCTCATGATCATTGGTTTGAGTCCATCGTTGTGACTATTTTGTCAGTCCATCTCATTGAGGGTTTTCCAAATTTTTGCTGACCCTCTGTTTTACCAAACATGATGTCCTTTTCTAGCAATTGGTCTTTCCTGATGTGGCCATGATTACTGTCTGCTTTAACATGCTATAGAAAACCCAGTGCCATCAAGTACAACTGCCCCATAGGGTTTCCAAAGCTGTAATCTTTTCAGGAGCAGATTGCCACATTCTCCTGTGGAGCAGCTGGTGGGTTCGAACTACCGACCTTTCAGTTAGCAGCCAAGTGCTTAACTACTGCACCACCAGGGCTCCTTCCAAATATGCTGTAGGTGAGCAGATTGTGCTGCTTTGTAGTATGAGACCTGTAATGTGACTGTGCTTGGTCAAGTCAAGACTGTCAGTACAAAGCACAATCCAGGTGTATGTGTGAGGGACTTCTTTTATGTTTCATTCATATATACAGATCAGAATTCTGTTCGTGCAGAGCTTCTTTATTGTCTTGAAAATCAGGAGGTTTAGGAAGAATTACAGTTACCTCTCTAACTTTGCCCATCGTAGTAACTTCCACACCTTTTTATTTTCCCTCTGTTGACAGAATAACACCGACGGACTTCACGAACTTGCCTGTGGGGGCTTAATTTATTGTTTGGGAGTTGTGTTCTTCAAGAGCGACGGCATCATTCCATTTGCCCATGCCATCTGGCACCTGTTTGTGGCCACGGCAGCTGCAGTGCATTACTACGCCATTTGGAAATACCTTTACCGAAGTCCTACAGACTTTATGCGACATTTATGATGAATCTGTACTATGTTTCCAAACCAGTATTATTTCAATTATGGCATTTGGGAGTGGGGTAAGAGCTGAAATTGCTCAGGAAAGAAGAAAAGGAAAAAAAAAAAAGACAACTGCACTGACTTTCTTTATATCCTTTGAATGTAATTACTGTGAAAGTCTGAAAGCTGTGTTCTGGCTTTCCCCTCTCACAGCAAATAAATAAGATAGTGAATTAATTATTCATTCCATCCCACTATCATGAAGGACTCTGGATAGGCTTGGCCAACTGATGTTTACAAACCAGAATTTTGTATTTTCATTTTACAGATTTTACTACATGATTTTTCTAAATTACTAGTTCAGGTTGTAAAAGTCAGTGTAATAACAGCTTCCTTTTTACGAAAAAAAAAAAAAAATTGTTTCTATCACTCCCATTAGCTGTGTAACGAATCATGGACAGAACTTACACTACTTTGTACCATGTTTCATCTTGGCATAACATGGTTATTTTTTAAATAGAAACCTTAGTTTTTTGTAAATTTTTAAAAAGAGATTTTACTGAAGTACATCTCTGCGGTTCTTCATTCGTGTCGTGAGTTCTCACAGCAAGCAGTCAACGTTCCGCAAAGGAACAAACATGATACCTCTTCTGACAGTTTTGTTAAGTGTGGAGAAATTGCCAATTTTTAAAAACTGCAGTTTTCCAAACTTTTCTGCCAACCTCTAACTTTGAATTCAGTGCTGCTTTGGGCCATATACTTGACCTAGTGTGGTTTACCAATGATGGAAAGTATTTTGATATCGTTAACTTTTTCAAAAGATCCAATTTTTTCCTCTCTCTCTGCCTTTGCCATGTTTTCTTCAGGGTCTCTTTCAATAGTGGATCGCTATTCACGTCTGTATGATGATAGCATTGTTGGGTTGGCCATCTTCCGAAAACTCCTGAGGAACATTATGAATTACAGTGAATAATTGTGTTGCCTGTTTGGTGCCCAATGGTTCTGTCCCTGTCACTTAGCTTTACATTATTAGTTTGATATTCATTTTAAAATGTGGAATTAGATGCATAAATTCACCTTCTACCTTTCCTCAGCATCTCCCAATATACCTTTTTTTTTTTTTTTAATACAGAAGTATTTAAAGCATCGTTTGACAGAAACGCATGCATCTGTAGTCCATGGGTTGTATCCTGGCTCAGTGGAGTGGTATTTAACGTGTTATTTTTGGTTTTCTGTGTGTCTTATATTAAGATTACCATATTAGTTGCTTTGTTGATTAATCTCTCCTATTGGTGTTTTAATAAGTGAAACAACCTTGCCTTTAGAACAGATGCCAGATATTATCTGTTGTCTCAGAATGGGCTTGATCAAATGGTTAAGTCGAATCACACACTTAGCCTTGCTAGTTCAATTTTTGTACTGATGTAGCTTTAAAAGAGGGTTTATTTTGTGTGTGTATGTTTAGAATGCTCTGATTTTGAATTATATGGGCATGAAGAACAGAAGAACTGACATTTGCTGGTGAATTCTCAAATAGGCAAGGTACCCAGCGATTGCATCAACCAGACCACCTCTGTATGCATGCCTCTGAACATTTGGATGCCTCTTGTTTTACTGTGTATATTTTATTTCTAATATATTTACATTCTGTGAATTCATTTAAAGTGTGCTCAAAAGTAACACTGTCAAAACCACTAAAATGTATGTAAAAAATTGTGCTGTAGAATAGAATAAAATTGTTATTTAGACTTGTTCCACTGTCTGTAAATTAGATGACTGATAAAACAATAATACAGTTTTTTTATATTTGTTATTGTTGTTGTCGAAAATATACACAACAGAGCATACACCCATTCAACCGTTTCTACATGTACAATTCAATGACACTGATTACAGTCTTTGAGTTGTGCAACCATTCTCACCCTGCTTTTCCCAGTTCCTCCCCCATTAGCATAAACTCACTGCCCCCTAAATAGGAAAAATACAGTTTTCCCATCTAATCTTTTGAGTTGCTGTTGTCAATTTGATCCATATAGATAGTTCTTAAACGAGCACAATGCTTAAGGCAGAGACATTCTTTACTAGTTAAGCTAAACTATTGTTTGGTTTTAAGATTTCAGGGGATATTGCATTTTTGAGAGCTTGAGCTCATCTAGCATTTGTAATTCATATACTAGTTCTTCACCTCCTGCTCTTCCTCTTTCTGCTCCTCCCCACCTCCTCTTCCCTCCCCTTCTCCTCCTCCTGAAAAACAAATATGCCCTGTTGTTTAGAACTTTCTATTCCTAGTCTCTTTCTAATAATTGAAATGCTAGAGCCAACTCGAACATTAATCAACACACATTTTCAGTTTAAAATAGCTAATTGGGGCCTAAAGAGTGTAAATTCTGTAGATATGTTATCACCAAGAGAAGCCTTTTGATTTAGCTTATATGATGTACTACAGGACCAAGGTTACAGCTTTAATATTTTCAAGCAGTTGGTGGCTTAGTATCCTCTGGACATATACCATATCTTAACCCTGATGATTCTGTGAATATTAGATGCTATTCTCCCTCTTCTACAGTGCAGGAAACGGAGGGTCAGAGAGGTTAACTGACTCATTCTCAGGGAGCTGGGGCAGGAACCCAGTTCTGTCCAGTTCTGAAGCCTGCCCATCTCCATACTGCTGCTTTTCCAGAGTCGTCAAAAGCAAACAGCTAAAAAGTTGAACTGTAAATCTATCACGCACGGGCATGGCAAAGAAAACACTCTTCAAAGAGTATAGAGCCACAGTAAACCCTCAGGCAACACTCCGTATCTAGTTTTGAGGATTGTCTTGAAGTGTTGTTCCCAAGAATTCTGTTCTCTAGCCCACCAGGGTGCTTACCTATTTCTAGAGCACTCACGCACTACTGTGCTGTCACCTGCTGATCAGTATCTCCAGCCAGAGCTATTTTCTTTTTAGTATGTGTTTGTTGCACAGATGCCCCCAGGCACTTCTACTCAGCCTGTTCCAAACAGTTCATTATCTTTCCTCATCCTCCCACCAAGCCCATTTCTCCTGAGTTTCCTATTTTAGTTAATGACATGGCTGTGGCCACCCTCAATTTCTTTTCTCTCACCCTCCACATCCCACCAGTCAACCAGGCTGTCATCTCCACCTCAGTCACAACTCCTTGATCTGTTCACTCACTTCTGTTCTTATTGCAGGGTCCTAGGTAAAGCCCTGGTGAGTAGCCCTCAGACTGCTGCAGCCACCTCCTCATGTATATCCCTGCTGCTGGTTCCTCCCCTCTAAGGTGCTTATCCTCCACACTGCTACCAGTGTTATGCTCCTAAAATTAAAATCCGAGCATGTCTTTTTCCTGCTTCGAAACTTCCATTGGCTATTAACCTAAAAGACTAAGGCCAGGTGCCTTAGCATTGATTCTTCACCTGCTGACCCCTCCTGATCCTCCCTCTTTCCACCTGAATGAACCCCAAGAAACACCAGCCACACTGAATTTAACAGCCTTCCCCCACCATGCCATGCCCTCACTTAGCTCGGCTTTTGTGCCTGCTGTTCTCGGCTTGGAATACCCTTACCCCCAACCTTTCTTCTACCTGGCAAAATGTTTGCTTATTCCAAACCTCCTTCAATGCCACCTCCACTGTGCTGTTGACCTCGGCCCCCTTGACTGTTGTTAATGCTCTCTGCTTTTGGTTCTTCAACACTATTCTCAGTTCCTTTGTGGTCCTTGTCATATTGCACTGTGACTGTGCTAGCTTGTCTGCTCCCCCGTGGGACTGAAAACCCTTTCAAGGCAGGTACTGAGTCTCGTCCACCTCTATCCTCAGCTCCTAACATAGCACCGGGCTCACAATTTGAGGGAAATGCAAAGACAGTTATTTGAGTTAAAGGAGAGCGAGGGAGGGGTCTTTTGAAGGGTGGTGGTGGTGAGGAGAGAGACAGATGTTGGTTTTCAGTAAGTTCATCTTGTCCCTCATGAGCACCAAGGCAGGCTCACTGATTGGCTGCAACCCGCCTTTCTTACAGCTTCCTTGGCCTTAGTGGCCTTCCTGAACAAGGGTCAGCTGGAACGTTTGTAGCAACCACAGGGAAGTGGATGAGAAATTGGTGTATAATTATTAGACAGCATCAACAAAAATTCTGATTCTGACTCATAGCAACCCCATATGTGTCAGAGTAAAACTGTGTTCCATAGGGTTTTCAGTGACAGAATTTTTTGAAGTAGATTGCCAGGCCTTTCTTCCGAGATGCCTCTGGGTGAACTTGAACCTCCAACCTTTAAGTTAGCAGCTGAGCATGTTAACTCTGTGCACGACCCAGAGACTCCAATTGTTAGACAATGTGTCCTAAATAGGAAAGATACAAGCTTGTTTACTGAAGTTTCCATAGAACCAACTATCCACAATTTATAATCCTGGAAAATTATTTTTCCTGCTCTACTTCCCTCTGGTCCTCTTTCCTGAAGATAATAATGAAATAAATGGAAAAAGCACTCAGTTCTGCAACCCTTGGGCCTTAGGGCAGGCTGCACTCAAAAAAGCAAATTTTCTAAAATACTTTTAAGATTTATTTTTACTTTAAAAATAAGGCAGGTATGTAAAACACTTTGGAAAATAGAGAACATAAGACTAAAAATTACCCAGAGTCGGCACATCCTAATGCCATCTCAGCATTTTCATGTATGTTCTTCGAATCTTTTTTCCCCCTATTTCTAGAATTTGTTTTATACAGTTGTAAATGTAACATATAAGTAATTTTATATACTTTTTTCCCATATTCTATCATAAGCATTTTTTCACATTATATATTTTTCATAGCCAGAATTTTCAATGATTGCATCATCTTTCAGTGACTGAGTATGCAACCTATTTAGTCATTCACCTAATTTTGGATTTTTAGTTTGTTTCACATGTTATATTTTCGTAAACAATGCTGCAGCAGACGTCTTTGTGCATAAACCTTAGTTCATATATTTTAAAAATCTTTTTCTTCTTGTTTTTCTTAGTCTGTATTTATGATTGGGTCTTTAAGATAATAAGAAACAATTGAGTGTTTCCTGTGTACCATGTACTGTGCTGGTTCACGTGAATTATCTCATTTAATTTTACTAAAACTTTACAGGTAGACAATTTTATTATCCCTGTTTCACAGAGGAGGAAATAAGCACAGATAAATGAGTTTTCTTGCCCAAGGCAAATGGCGGAGCTGGATTGAATCCAGAATATCTAGAGACTATGTTTATTCCTAGGAGTGTAATTCCTGGGTCAAAGTCTTATTAATGGGTTTATCCAAAGGGAGACCTTTTAAAAATGAAGCTCATTCCAAGACTCCACATTTGTACTTGGCATACTCAGGTTACGTCTACTCTTCCCATGTGCCAGTTAGTTGGAGACTAGAATAGGGAAATCTCGAAATGAAACTGACCTCTAAGAAGCTGGTTCACCTCCCACCTTGTGAAGCAAAATAAAGTTTCCCAAGAGGACCCGAGGAATGTTTTTAGTTTAACAAGGTTAGAATGACTGCATTCATGTCTTTCTGGGGCTTTTGCTATTTTAAATAGACAGCGCCAACATGTTCCTACGTTCTGTGCCATTCCCACCTACATCCCTGCAATGTATCCATGGTATTATTTTTCCAAGGAACAGTGCCACTCTGCAGTCTAGCTGCTTTGCAAGGGGAGTGAAGCTGTTCTCATCAGCGGCCTGTGCAACACAACAGAACACTGTCTCATTCTCCTGCATAGCTCATTATCACTCAGATTTGCACTGCAGTCAGAAGTCATTAAGTCAAAATAGACTGGCGAGGCTGACGGTAGGCTTAGGAGAACAGATGCTTTGGAGCTTTGCCCTGTCTCCTGGGAGACGTCACAGGTCCTGTTGCTGTCCTGTGTTCGGCCACACTCAGTACACCGGATCAAATTGCTGTCAGTCACTGAAAGAGTCAGCAGAACTTTTTGATTAAAAGGATTTGGGGCTCTTAAACACACAAAGGTTTTCTGAATGCCATCTGTGAGCTGCATGTTGGGTTGGTGTGGAATCAGACAGCTTGTGACAAATTGGCTAGGTGAGCTTAGACAAGTTACGTAGTACCTTTGGGCCACAGCTCCTATCTGCAAAAGGGGTATCAACACCTCCTTCATAGTGTGGTCACAAGGATTAAATAATATATTGAAACTGTCTAGTTTATACATACTGGCGTATGATTGGCACCAGATAAATGTTAGCTTCCTTCCCATATGGCCACGTTTTTAAAATTATGGTTATAGCCCACCTGTGGAAATTTTTCATGCAGAAACAACCTGGAGGTCTCATTGTAACCATGGAGTCAGCTGTTCGCTAGCTCTTTCTTATAAATGGTCCTGGATTAAACTGTGGCCAAAGTCAGAGTGACGTGTGTGGTCACCTGGGCTTTCTAATAATTTTGTGTCCTTTGAAAGAAACGATCTTTAAATAGTTAACATTTCTTTGGATGAGAGGAGCCCTGCTGGCGCACTGGTTAAGAGCTCAGCTGCTGACCAAAAGGTCGGCAGTTCAAATCCACCAACCACTCCTTGGAAACCCAGTGGGGCCATTCTGCTCTGCCCTATAGGGTCGCTATGGGTCAGAATTGACTTGATGGTAATGGATTTTTGTTTTTTCAGATGAGAGGCTGAGCACTGCATGGAGAAAGGGTGGAAAAGGAGGAAGCCAGGACAGTTCTCTTGTGCCTAGGTGAGAACGTGCATGCTTCACTTAAGGACCTTCAGTTAACTGGACCCACACTCCT